ATAGTAATGGTACTTTCCACACTATATCTATAGTATAATTGGTGTCAAATCCCTGGCCATAGTGCTTAAGGATAGAAGCTGTACCATTCCTTATGCATTGCCATCAACTCCTGAACAAGTAGGTACTCAAAAAAATGTGTCTAAATAAGTGAAAGAAAACAAGAAAACAAATGTCTGGTTCAACAAAAATGAGCTAATTTGTGGAGGAAGTTAGTTATTTGAACCCCTCAGGTTAGTAATAACTAAACAGATACATGTGGTTTTTAAACGTCAATGTGCATTATTAATAATCTCCAAATAATCTCCACATTTCTTTATTCATGAGGTATTCATGAGATGATACCTGCCTGGAACACCAAGGGCCTGGTGCATATGTCCTCAGAAATTCTTGCCCTTAATCCCCAATAATCCATGAGCAGACAAATGGGTGGTACCAGAGCAATTTTCTCAAAACTTGATCACCGAATCAATGTCAGAAACAGCTCAAGCCAGCCTATAAAACCTACTGCAGCCACTGTGTGCTAAACTCTAGCTCCAACAGCAGCCACCAGTTCTTCTGAGTGCTGACCTATGAACCAGGAGGTTATGGTTCGATTCCTGGTCAGGACACATGCACAGGCCCTCCTGGGGGCGGGTCTTTAATGCAGCTTGGCACTGACTATAAAACTATTTCACACTTTTCTCCTCACACTTCTAGGCCCACCCACATCCCCATTCTCACCTGATGCTCCTGCTTCCTGCCTGAGGAAATTAATCAAGAGCACTTCTGCAGCCTCCCACCAGCACATCTACCTACACACTTTGCCTTCAAGCCTGTTACCTGGGAAGAACTACCTGCTCTTGCCTGAAGCCACCACTCCATCGCTCACTTCTCCCCGCCATCTCTCAACAACTGAAAAACCTTGCTCCAGTAGTTTTTCCTTTCCACTGGATCACTTCCTTTGCATGTATACTGTTATGTTCTATGTTAACAAGTATGCACACACATTTGTTACTTCTTCCATCTTAAAGAAAAGACCTCCTTCCCCCACTTTTCTGGACTATTCCTAGTCTATTTCTTAGCCCTGACTCACAGCAATGTAGCTTTTGCTCTCACCACTCTACCTAAACTGCTCATCCAGATTACCAATAGTCACTCTACTAAATTCAGGGGTCAATTTGTACCCCTCTTCTTACTTCAGCAGCATTTTACACAACGAACTTTTCTTTCTCCTTGAAATGTTTTTCCTTACTGCCAGTCATGCTGCCAGTTACTAATTGTTGTAAAAAAAATCATTCTTTTAAACAGCAAAAATAATGGAAAAATGCAGGCATTGCATTAAGAAAAATAAGTTAATCATTGGATATAAACTCAATGACTATTAATTATTAAAACATGAAAAATATTTTATTTTTTTAGTGGGGAGAATGCATGTTACAAACTAATCTATGATACAATATATTTATTCAATAAACTGTAATTGAGCACTGACAATGGGTTGGCACTCCCTTTCGTGCTAGGGGGAATTCAAAGAATAATATACAACCTTGGCTCTCAAGGGGCTCACATATGAGGAGCAACCAGGAGAAGAACTTAGGAAAACATAAACAGGCAATGTGTTAAGGTAGTAGACCCTGTGGGAATAGTTTCCCTTAATTTTGTTTTCTTTTATAGTTGCTAACGTGCTGTAGTTAAAATAAATGTTATCAGTAGGAAAAAATTTTTAAAAAGATAAAATAACTAGTTCTGCCAGATATAAAATACATTTTAAAAGTTGAAAAGGCCTTTGGGGTCCAGATTGTGTTTGTTAAATACCGTTTCCCAGGACAAGACCCAGCATTGCTTGTTGGAGCGGCTGACCCCAGATCTGTGACTGGGAGGGTGAGTCTGGCAGTTTGGCGTTTGCCCGCTCCACCACTTCTCATGGGGACTTACCTGAATGCATGCTCCTGTCTTCACTTTGCATAAGTAGCAGACTAAGGCCCAGCGACTGGGTGGGATGTGGGAGATCTTTGTGATTGGTTCCATCCTTTCAGGACAACCAATGCTGACCTACAAATAAAATACCACCATAAGGCAGACACACCGAGGTATTCCCACAGTACCTTTCACAAAGCATAAATGATGTTACATGAAGCTCAGAACATCAAACAATGAGGCGAGCGATGTCTCTTAAGGTTACTATGGAACTAAGAATAAATAAAACTTGTCTCTAGTCACTGCTCAGACCTTCCATCATTTCCAGAATGTAAGTGGTTTATATATAGGATGAAAGGCCAGGAGTGAAGACTAGGCTTGGTTACCTTAGGGAATCAAAGATGTCTATACTTTACTTAGGAACCAAAGAAAGTTACCAAGGAAAGGAGTAAAAATTCACAAAATCTAGCACCTATCATGTTAGAGACGGCGCCAAAGGCTTTACTTTTTTTTTTTTTTCATTTAATCAACTAAGGATGAAAACCAGAGGCAGCAACAAGCCTTTCAGTTTGGCTTACAAAGAAGCATGACACTGTTGGAAAGTAGCAGTAATTTGTATAATGAAGAGATTGTAGTACAGAAGTAGAAAGGGTAAGGATAATAACATTTGTAGACTAAAGTCTTTAAAATCACTTATCTATCACTAGCTTACTTCACTCCCTCAGCCCAAAGAGCTTCGAAGTGAAGGTGGTCTTTGGGAGAGTGCTGTAAATGTTTTTTAAAAGATGGAAAATAAGAAAAAATAAATAAAAAGATGGAATTTCCCTGCCCCCCCACCCCCCATATGAAAATAAGAAGCCAAGCAACTTCTGGTAATAGTTTTCTTTTTCTTCTTTTTTTTTTTTAAAGTTCAAATATGTATATGAGTTTCTAAGGCAGACACAACTTTAAAAAGTGAAAGAATGTTGAATAAGGATGGTTAAATTAGTACAAATGCTGCCCACATCAAGAAACCAACAGCAGGGACGATCAGAGAGGTCTTTGACAGCCCCAAAGGCACTGGAAACCTGGCACTAGAAACCATAAGACAGGGGTGGGGAACATCTGGCCCGCGGGCCGCATAAAGCCTGCCAAATCATTTGGGTGAGTAAATTAAATGTTTGACCAAATACAGCAGGCTAATTTTTAAGTTGATAATTTTGTGTGGCCCGAGAATGACATTATAACTATCCAAATAGCCCTTGGCAGAAAAAAGGTTCCCCACCCCTGCTCTAAGAGAGTGTCAATAGGTGAGAAGGCTTCTTTTACTTTTAAAGAACTCTTCCTGAGTCACATTCCAGACTTCTGTATGCTGAGGGAGCTGCTCTATTCGTCGGGGGATTTGCTGCTGGAAAATAGTCACTCTCAGTCAGAAACCTGAGGGTTCATTTCATATGTCTATAAGATGGGATATTCTTAGTAAGAAAAAGGAACCACTACTCAAATATCTTTGAAAATGCTGACTTCTATATCCCTAAGAATATTACAGTACGTATGTAGAACTTTCAGTTTAACTCTGTGAGCTCGATTGTTGACTAACTCCGCCTGGAACTGACACTGACAAGAATAAAGCCAGGAAGGTTTTAAAGGAGAATGAATTGCTGATATAGAGTCATCAGCTCCACCATGAACTGAATTCTTCAGTCTATCTTGTCTTACAGTTAAAACTGACAAGTTTGCTGGCTTGGATAGGGGTTGGGGAAAGAGGATGTGAGTGGGATGTCCAAACAGGTTAATAAAAAGGGCAGCCCTAGGAAGTAAGTCATGTCTGGAAGCCCCTTTTAACAACTTAGTATGCACATAACCCAGGGGTCCTCAAACTACGGCCCGCGGGCCACATGCAAATACAAATATTGTATTTGTTCCCGTTTTGTTTTTTTTACTTCAAAATAAGATACATGCCGTGTGCATAGGAATTTGTTTATAGTTTTTTTTAAACTATAGTCCGGCCCTCCAACGGTCTGAGGGACAGTGAACTGGCCCCCTGTTTAAAAAGTTTGAGGACCCCTGACATAACCCATCAGGAAATATTGGAAACTAAAAAACAAGATGAAATGAGGGATGGAGTTTTGAATAAAGAATGTCTAAAACAAATGTTGAGTCCAAGTACCGAAAAGAGCTTCAAAAATCAAAGAGCACCATCACAATGGTGAACAGAGCTGTTGCTCACTTAATAGCTTAAAACTGGAAACAACTCAAATGTCTATGAAAGGAGATTGGATAAATAAATCATGTTATAGCCATACAATGGGATACTACTCAGGAATAGAAGGGAATGAATGCTGATGCTACAACACAGAGTGCTAGGCAGACAGAAAAAGAGCATACTGTGTGATGATTCTATATACTAGTATATGAAGTTCGGGAACAGACAAAACTACTAGTAACACAGTGATAGAAATCGCTCTTGGGTAATAGGGACCCAGACAGGCCTGGAAGGTAGGTATGAGGAACCCTTTTGGGGTGTTCCACATCTTGGTCTGGGTTATGGTTACAGATGCACATGTGTAAAAATTCATGAAACCCTACCCTTAAGATTTGGTATTTTAAGGTAAGTTTTACCTTATAAAAAAAACCAACACAACACCTGCTGCTTATAACCTGGTGTTGTGTGCTTCTCTCATACAAATTTATCCAATACCGCTGGCAGTATCGTCTGCAAATTAACCATCACGGGCTTACCTACTCACTTGCATCCAAGGATATGAGGGAGCTCAAGTGAAAGCAGTATCGCCTCAGCAACATGGGCAGACATAAAGCATCTCCATGAGGCCGAGTCAGTGTGAATGCTGTGGGAAATGGGGGCTCTCTGGCACAGATGACCTCACAGGCCCAGATGAGTTCTTACCTCTGGAATCCATAGGGCACAGCTGACATGAGCCCATTTAGTCCCCGTCCTGGTGGTCTTCATGGCTCCACCTTTCTTTGGACATAACATACATTGCGCAGGAACACCCACGACACAGGAGCGACACAGCCAGCTGCCTTCTGGGACCTTGAGGATGCCATAACAAGCCTGGAGAGAGGAGGAGGAGAGGGGAGAGTGGTTAGCGTCTTCTCACCAGGGTCTGCGTCTGCTCTCTGGCAGTTACAAAGGACCCTCCACCTTTACGAAGAAGAGGCAAATAAGACCAAATAAGCTCTTAACCAGCGTTCAGTTATTTTAAAACACTCAGGGAAAAAAAGGCAACTTCTAGCATCTGTTCTAAGAGCAGCATGTCTGTGTATGAGAACTGACTTTAAGGACAACAGAATAAGACTCGAAGGAAACACAAGCAAGGCTAGCCCAACTGCTGAGTTTGGGAATTACCTATTTTTTTCTTTTTTTGCCCCAGTTTTCTAAAGCTTCTTCAATGATTATTATAACTAGTCAGTCATATATTTATGGAATAACTTCTACATGCCATGCAGTGTTGTGATCAAGAAAAATTTTTTAAAAATAATTACAGTGAAAGTTCTGAGGAGCAAATGAGCTGATGTTTAAAGAGCCAACAGTGCCTGGTGCATAAAAACACTCAGCAAACTGTAGCAATTACTTGCTTGGGTTGAAGAAAAAGGGCCTTGTGAATAAATCCTGAATTGAATATAATATTAGACTTATCACAATACTCCATAATGAGTTCTGGAAGCTGCTTCAAATCCTTTATGGAATGAAGTCGGACAAATAAATAGATGAATTACTGGGGAGAGGAGGGAGATTAGTTCGGAAATTCTAGATTTCCCTTTTGCTACCTGTGATTTTGCCCATCCTTCCCCTCTTACTGCTCTACTCTCACCATTAGAAACCAAACCTGGGGCCACCTGGCTTCCCGAGTGGTCTGGCACAGCCTCCACTACTGACTGATTCACCATGGCAGCTTCCAATTCTGTGCCTGATCCAGGAGGTTCACCCACAGCTCAGAGAGAAGTTACAATAGTTACCATTGCGTCACGCTCCCACCAAATTGGCCCTTTTCCAGACTCTCTCTATCCGTATCACCGTGCTTCCCACCTCCCAGATCCAAATTCTTGGAATCATATTATCCACTTTCCTACTGTCCCTGGGGCTTGCTAGGCTGCCCTATTGAGTGACCCCTAAACTCTGACCTTCCTTGCCATCCCCACCATAATTGCGCCATCCAAGTCATCATATCATGCATGTCTAGATTGATTGACTCCTGAATTCTCTTCTTCTCCCTTCACACCTTCAATCCTTCCTCTATTTGTCTGTCATATTATTCTTTTAAA